GAAGACTCCGGAGACTAGATCATGGAGGGAGCCTTCCAGGTGTGTGGGAACTGGTAAGGAGCTGCCAGCAGCCACCCGAGCCCGCCCAGGCCAGGGACCGGTGGGCAGAGTGAGTCTGTTTCTGGAATGAGGAGAAAAGGGTCCAGGCATAAACTCCCGGGAGGGAGGGCTGGTGCTGTGGCCCCGGGGAGGGAAGGCTTACCCCCAGCAGATCTCTGAGGTCACGGGGTGAGGAAGTGATCAGCATTGCCTTACATCACTGGGCCGCACTCGTCCCCCACCCCTCGAGACAGTCCTGACTTTCTGGGACAGTCCTGGAGCTGAATAGCCAGGCTAATTGTCCCTGATGGGCTACTCCTGATTTGGGGTTCTGATCATATGGTCTGCACACCAGTCTGAGACCAAGCCTCCCTCACCTTGAGAGGGAGGCTGAGCAGTGTGCAGGCCCGCACCTCTAACTCACCAAGGGCCTCACTCTCAAAGGGGCCCACCTGTGGCAGGAACCAGCAGGGAACCTTCCCAGAGAGCTTTGCTCCAGCCAGACCCTCCTGGCACTTAAGTGTCTGAACCTGCTTGGGAGGAGGAGCTGAGGGGACAGGGCAGGGAAATCAGAGGGGGAGGGACCAGGCCAGGCAGAGGGGGAGGGATCAAGTCAGGGAGAGGGAGAAGGACCAGGCCAGGCAGAGGGGGAGGGACCAGGCCAGCAGAGCGGGGAGAACAGAGGAAGGGTGGTGAGGCAGCCGTGGTGCCATCTCTCTAGCGGTGCAGAGCCCAGAGCTTGTGCATACCAAGGGAGGTTGTCCCTCCCACAGGCAGGGACTTGGGCGTACTGCTCTGGTGCATTTGGGCCTTTGGGGACACGGGCACTGAGTCTCCCTCCTCCCAAGCTCCACAAGCAAGGGCTGGTTGACGTGAAAGGAGGCATTTCCTGGTCAACAGGAGGGTTGGGAAACACCCTGCCCAGGAACCGGGAGGCTCAGAAGCTTACACTCTCTAGGGTCTCCGAGGCAGGACTGGGTCCCTGTGAGGCTTTGTGCAGGTGAGCCTGCAGGCGGGGGACAGGTGGACGGCCTCGGCTCTCCCAGTCGTGGCGAGTCTGAAAGCTGGCATTGCCCTTGCAGCAAGCATGGGGGTGTCAGGGCTGGACTCCCAATTGCTGTGGGCCAGGCACGGGAACTCTTGAAAACAAGACCAAATCTTTGAAAGAATGTGATATGTGTTGCTTCGTTTTTTCAAACAGCTTTCCAGAGGTACAATGACATACACCGTGTTTATGGTACATGTTTAGCGTGCACCGTTGCATGCGTTTGACACATGTGTATAGCCATGAAACCATCACCACAGGGAACCTATGAACCTACCCAAGATGTCCCTGGGCCCCTTTGCAATCTCTCCCACCTGCTCCTTCCCACCCACCCTCACTGGCCCCGGCGATAGAAGAGCTTGTAGCGCGTTCTTACACTTTATGATTTTGTGATGTTCTGATTTGGGACCAACGTGGGGCCACAGGGACGGTGACATCATCTTCATATGTTCAGTGCTTGAGGCCTGGACATTCCTTAACCCAGCGGCCCTGGGTGGGAAACAGGGCTCCCTGCGTTATACCTTCAATCAGCCCGAGCTCCTTCCCCCTTCTTCTGGCAGCAAAAGAAGGGTGGCCTCTGCCCACCTGGCCCTCCATGAGGCGCACTGCCTGCTGTTCCTGACCCGGTGCCCCGAGTGCAAGGAGCCCGTCCTCCAGGCGAAGATGGACGAGCACCGCGAGAACGGGCACCAGCAGGTGAGGGGCCCCGGGAGGGACACAGGAGGGTGCTGCACAGCGAGGCTGACTCGGACCCTTGCTGCGGCCGCGAGCCTGGCTGCCGTGGGCAAGTCGCTGAGCCCTGCATGCCTCAGGCCCTGGCAGCGGACACAGTATCCCTAGGAAACTGCGTCTACCCTGCTGTTCCCGTGCCCAGCCCTTTCCCCACAGGCTTATGGGTTTAGCCCAGGGCAGGGGTCTCTGTTTCAGGAAGGACTGCGTGTTCTTTTGAGATTTGTGAAGAGGAGAAGCTGGAGAGGAAAGCTCTAGAAGGCAGTCACGCCAAGACTGGCTTTTCTTTTCTGCTCTTTCATGTCGCTCCTTCCTGGGACCCTCCTCTGTCTGTCTGAGATCCTCAGCTCAGGCATCCCTTTCAGCTCAAAGCATCCCCCCAAACACTTCCTGAACACGGGGCTGTGCCCCCCTGGACGAAGGCAAACACACCCGATCCGGTGCCTGGGGGCGCACAGAGCCCAGCAGGTGCTGGGACCAGCGTCTCTCTCTGTGCAGGTCGGGTGCGCCATGTGCCAGCAGAGCATGCAGAAGAGCGTGCTGGCGTTTCACGAGGTGAGAATCAAGTGCGGTTCATCTTTCACAGGGGCAGCGCCCCCTGGGAGGAGGGGGGGAAGGGAGGCTTCCCTCTGACCTCTCCCCTCCCCCAAGGAGGCTTGGGAAGCAGTGGAGAATGTTCAGCAGAGGGACACGCAGCCGCTGGTCCCCCAAATGCTGGTCAGAGGGCTTGCTGTGGTCCGTGACCCAGGACAGCTCAAAATCCCCAAAGGGGGTCCCACTCTGGCCCATCCCGTCGGCTTTCTTACTTGCTCAGGCCCCTTGGGAAATCAGCCCATGTCCCCACCTGGGCCCAGTCACTCCTGGCGAGTGACCTGGCCATCCTGCCTGCCTCCCCGCAGACCAGGGAATGCCAGGAGCGCCCCGTCGTGTGTGAGTTCTGCAGGGCAGCCGTGCGCTTCAGCAAGCTGGAGATCCATGAGCACCACTGCGGCAACCGCATCGAGCTGTGCCTGGACTGCGGCCAGCCCATCATGCTCCGCACGCTGGCCCAGCACAGGGATGCCTGCCAGAGCGAGCAGGCCCAGCACCGGACAGGTGAGCGGGGCGGGAGCCTCCTGGACAGAGTGCGAGGAATGTGGGCATTCAACAGGACAGGTGCCGTGTGTGGATGACGGCTGTGCAGGTCTTAAATCCATCTGGCTGTTCTAGTTCTAGAGCATGTACCAGAGTGGTGGCCTCTTCGTGTGTCTGCTGAGCTCTTCAAATGGCCCGCCCAGGGAGACCTAGAGGCAGGCGGAGGGGGGCTGGGGGCCACCCAAAAGGATGCAGGGGCAATGGGGCCCTGCAAAATGGAAGCCGTTCTTGGAAGTCCCCTGGCATGATCCTAGCCTGGCAGAGATCGCCTGCCTCCTCTTAGAGATGGCAAAGCCGTGCCCAGAATGAATCAGGCTCTTGCTAGAGCAGAGGTGACCTGGGCACCCACGTTTCCCGGCATCAAGACTGGAGTTTTTCCCACCAGCAGCAGTGGGCAGAAGGAAGTTAGCTGGAGCCCCTGACCTTTGTGCTATCTGGTGACTCCCTGGTACCATTTCATGTTCTCTGCACCCAGTCACCCCTTTGTGAGGTATGTTAGCAGAGGACACAGCTATCAGTGTGACAGATCTGCTGTTGACTTCACCGGTTGTCTTGGTAACATGTGGCATGAGCCTAAAATCCCTGTACAGTACCTCTCTCCTGGCAAACAAGCTACTCAAGGTGAAAATGGCGAAGGAAAACCTGGGATGCTTGCACAAATTCATGGGCATTTCCTTCATTCCAGCGTGGCTGGCCTCTAACACCACCACACAACTTCATCAACGCAGCCCAGCTTCAGCCAGACCACACAACACGATCAACAGAGACAAGTACAATACCAGTCTGAGCCCAGAGCTGAGAAACTGCTGAAATGAAAGAGCAGTCAGGCTGGACAGGGCTGGTATCTGTGCTAATGGCTCCCTCGTCTCTTTAGAAACCAGGGGAATGTCTCTTCATCAGGGTCTTGTGCCACGCTGAGCGCACCTCTGCCACCATAAAGGAGGTGATGTGGGTGACTCGGCCAAGGGTTGCGTGTGTGGCTGAGGACGCTGGCAGGGCAGGGCCGGCAGGCAGGCCCGGACGGTTCCTACTTGGGACGGTTCATACTTGTGACGACAGGCCATGTACGCACTTGCGGGACAGCTGGGCGAGCCGTTGTCAAGGGCAATCATTTGTGATGCTGTTTCTGTTTATTAGGGAAGAAGATTTCAGCTCCCGAAAGCAGTATCTGCTGTCATTATTGCAACCAAATGATCCCAGGAAATAAGTATTTACACCATATGGTGAGTAGCAATTAGTCATTTTCTAATGGTGCCCGTAGCTTGTCTGTATTCCAAAAGGGTAGTATTCTGGGTCCAATTTCACAGAGGATATGAGAGGGCCTCATTCATTTTTGCTTCGCTCAAAAAGGAATGTTGTGAATGGCTTTGGGCTAATTTATCATACGTAACCGATCTCCGTTTGTGCCAGCTCTCAAGGAGCCTCCCTGACCAGTCCAGCTACCTGATCACCTCTGAGCATCTTCAGCCTCAGGGCCTGGGCATGGCCTCACGAGGACCTGCTTTATAACTGTCTGTCCCTGTGAGAGCCTTGTCTATTGGACTGGGAGCTCCTTCACAAAAGTGAACCACCTCTCCATCTTCCCACCATGAAGCTGATCTGAGGGCTGGTACCAAACGGGGACTCTGTAGAGGTGTGGTGATATGATTGATTGATTGATTGGTTGGCTGATTGGTTGGTTGGCTTTGCCTGGGAACACTCACAGACGCGTCCCTCCATAGCTCTAAGCACTGCGGGTACCTTGGTTGTGCCAAGTTATTCCCCTTTTCTGCAGGATGGAGCATTCTCTCTCTGGGGAAACTTCCCAATGTTTCTCTCCGAGAAACTCGTCTCCTTTTCCTTGAGCAGAGAAATGTTTATCCTCTCTTAACCCTCCAATTCAGAGAACTGTGAATATCAGAATTGAAAAAACCCTAGGGTGATCTAGATCTTTTTGTTTATTGTGGTAAAATACACATGACATGAAACGTATCATTAGTGACACTTAGTACATCCCCAATGTTGTGAAACCATCACCTCTATCTAGTTCTGGAGCATTTTCACCGCCCCCCAAAGAAACCCTCTACCCGTGAAGCAGTCGCTCCTTACTCCTTCCTGTCGATAGACCCTTTGGGTCCCCAATATTCCTTAACTCTCCCATGTTCTCCCCAATCTTCCTGTGGGATATAACAGATGTATATTAAGCCTTCTCCTTCTAGCTGCTTGTCTCCTAACTTTTCACATTTTCTATTTACCACTCATATTCTGGGGAATTTCTTCAAATCTATCTAATCTGCTTTTTGTTTTTCCTATCCATTGAGTTCAATGTCTGTATTTTTCATTTCTAGTTCTATTTATCTCTCTCATTTAAATTTGCCTGCTCTTTTTTTCATAGGATCTTATCATTTTCTCTTGTCCTGTTTATTTTTAATTCCCTTATTTTACAGTCTGTATCCCATAGTTTTATTATCTGAACTTCTTGGAGACTTAATCCTGGTTTTGCTTGGGCCTGACTCTTAAGGAGATTGCTTCGTTGGGTGTCTGCAAGCCTTACTTGTGCGTTTCTGTTTAGTGACTCTACCTGTGAGAATCCTGTACGATGTAGTTTGAAGCTATATACCCTCCAGAGAACTTTTGTTATTGCTCTTGCCAGGCATTCCCACTTGTAGGTTAATTCTTCTGCGCGGGTGTTCCTGGGCATGGCCTCACGAGGACCTGCTTTATAACTGTCTGTCCCTGTGAGAGCCTTGTCTATTGGACTGGGAGCTCCTTCACAAAAGTGAACCACCTCTCCATCTTCCCACCATGAAGCTGATCTGAGGGCTGGTACCAAAGGGGGACTCTGTAGAGGTGTGGTGAGACTACTGTAAACCTGAGCCCCAAACACAAAGATGGCACGGACCCGTGGATCTGAATTCCCAGGAGCGTCAGTTTTCCTTCCCCACACTCCAGCTCAAGGTGGACAAGCCTCCTTGCCACTTTTCTTATCCAATTAACGGATGGATTTATTTATTGAATTATTTATTGATTTATTGATTTAGTTTAGCCTTCAAGGTTCCGGACTTTCCTCTGGGAAAGGGGAGTCTTACTTTCAGCTCCCCACCTTCTGTGGATGGGACTTTTCTCTCATCCAAGACTGACCCCACATCTCCCAAAGCGTCAGCTCAAGTGCTTCACAGGTTAGGTTTTCGTCCTGGGCCCGGAGCTTTCTCTCTTTCTTACAAAGTCAGCTATCAACTTAAATGAGTGTTTGCTGCATTTCATCCAGCCTTTCTAAGTGTTCCTGGTGGAAAGTTTCCAGGTGATCTAATCTATTGTGCTGTCCAGCCAGTAAAGCCGAAGTCGTTTTAAAATTTGACATATTACTCACAATTGCAGGATAAATGTCGTACCACCTCAGAGCCTGCAAAATATTTTCCAACTGAGGAGACAAGAAATTCTCCGCCAACCCTCCCAAGTCAGGCTGCTGAAGATCAAACTCCCACCGCAGTGAAAGATGTTCGCCCAAAGACGAAAAATACAAGCAGGTTTCCTCTTCTTTCCGAAAATTCAACAAAGCAAGTACCACGCAGCACAGACAAAACCCTGGACCTGCCTCTGAAGCCTGAGCGCCAGCCCTGGGTCGTGGACGACCCGGCCTATAACATTCTGCGGAGGTGCCCTCAGTGTGATATCCTCCTCCCCCTGCCGACCCTAAACCAGCACCAGGTACCAGCCTCTGCTCTCTCCTCACCTGGCTGTACACCATCTGGACTTCAGGGTTTAGAGAAGCCCAGGACCTGCAGGGTGTGTGCAGACCCTGCCACTGGGAAGGCCCTCCCCTGTCTCCTCCTCTGTATGCCCACATCCACTCTCTCCCAGCACCTCCCACCTGGTTTGTTGGCATCATCTCCCAGAGACGGGGCCACCTTTGAAGGCAGAAGCAGCTCTTTCATCTCTGTGTCTCCGGTTCCTGGCCCGGGGGTTGACCACAGCAAATGCTTTAAACAGTTGAGTAAATGAGCGAAGCTGAGGGCCTCCGGTCCAGCTCTCTCCCGGGGCTAAGGCAACGGAGGCCCAGAGATCAGAGCCTCGATCAAGATCCTGAATCAGTTGGCATCTTGCCTCCAGCAGATTGAGGTTTACCTCCGGCAGATAGGATTTGCAGCCTCGATATCCTGAGTTTTACCTCCTAGATGACTTTCTGGTAATAGTAAGAATTAGCATATGTGCCAGTTACAGTGCAGAGTTCTTTACACACAGGTAATCTTCATTATACATCATAGGCAGATATGGTATTTGTATTTTACAAATTAGGAAACCAGACTGAATTATAATTCCCCAGGATTACACAGTTAGAGAGCGGCCGGATCCAGCCTGGGATCCACGTGTAGAGAGTTCCAAACCTTTGCTCTTAAGCTCCAGACTGGATGCTTCACCTATGGCGGGGTG